GGGCGGCCCCTGGCGGCCCCTGGCCCCCCCCCCCCCCCCCAAAGCACGAGGCCTGGGGAGGTCGCCCCAATTTGCCCAACCCAAGGGACAGCTCTGGGGAGGGGGCTGCTCCTACAGCATGCAGCCTGTATATTATGTGGCCCTGTCACAAAGTTGGACACCCCTGGTTTAAAGAACAAAAAAGATCACAACTAATCTAACTTGATATTTGATTCTTTCTGCCAATAATCATGACATCAGTAACAGCCTCCTAGATTCTGGAGTAGCAGGAATCCATTTTTATGAACAGCTAATACTTAATTGTTGAGCTTCATGCATGTGTCAACTTTCTACAGCAGAGCAGTACATGAAAAAGTATAGTTATGGTACCTGCTATTTGGTTTGGGATATCAAGTGTGTGGAACATTATTTTATTTCTGTGATATCTTTGCAATATTATTGGATGGTGATGTCTGATCTGAGAGCAAAGGGTATGTAATATTTTGCAAGCAAGCTTGTCTTCCCAAGGCAATAATGTGAACTAGAATGTGATAGTATACAAGAAATAGGAGTTACATAAATAATTTCTTAAAAATAAAAATCAGGGTTTTTGTGAAGAGTAACTAATAACTATCTTCAGCAAATAGAATCTGTGGCCTTAAGTACAGTTCTACTCTGAGAAAATGGCACAATTAGGTTCTATGTCAGCTATTTCTCAATTATTTCATATTCATTCAGTTTACTCATACAAATTTAGTTTTCTAACTGCCATTTCTGCAAATATATCATAGGTGTGGAAAGACATGTCAGGACAAATCTCCTGGATCTGGATTCCTGATGATCATATACAAGAACAAAAACCCAGTTTAATTTTCAAATCCGAGGATGAATTGGCATTACTGAGAATTGAGGGGGAGGTGGGGAAGGGGAAGTCTTGTAAATTGAACATGAAAGTGTTGGGCTCACAAACAGACAATTAAAAATGGAACCCCGTGGTGCTGTATTTATGGTCACTTTTCAGAATAGCTGAACCACTAATGTGGTTTTACAATAAGCAGGGTTAAAAATTCCTTAGTAAAAGAGGAACTTCAATTATCAGAAAATGGGATTTTCCTTTATCTGAACCTCTCAACCAAGAAGTGCCAGAAGACCCCAAATACATGTGTATGCTAATTCACTTGTGGTTTTAACAATCAGCTATACAATGGGTCTGATTTGGGTTCTGCAAGTTCACAGCCACGACAAGGGGAGGACTGCTGTTAGGAGTCACTGCCTTCCCCACTGCTTGTGTGTCTTAAATAAGGACCAGATAGAATTCCTGCTTTGGAAATCAGGAGATTACAAACCCTAAAAGGTAGTTTTGCTTCCTAGTTCTCCATTCGTGCACCTTCAAACACCACTTTGCTGTGAACTGTGTCCTCTCACACTTGAGAAGAAGACCTTTTTCAAACTTGAGAGCTATTCTCTAGCTTAACTTAAATTGTACAGAGAGCAGGGGAGGAGCAGGGGAGGGGAGGGTGTTATCATGCAGGTCAGAAAGGTCCTTTGGCCTTCAAACTTAGGAGAGGAAGAACAAACCATGGGTTACACATTCCTTAAGCAATTACTAGAAGATACTCAGAAAATGCAACAATGAATGTAGTATAAGAACCCATCTATAACTGAACCAGACAAAACAGCTATACCTTTTCTTTTTTTTTCCTTCCCAATAATACTTTCTGTTGTATTAGACCTTCTTGTTTTGGAGGTAATGTTCATGCCAGAAGCTGCTGAATGCACATTTAAACCTTTGCCTACTGTTTGAAAACAAGAACATCCATTCAAACAGTTGTCAAATCATGGAATTGTATAGTTTTTTGACAGTGCAGTATGAACTATTTCATATAAGCTCTCCCATATTTGCTTTGCCCCAAAGACTAAGGAACATTAGCCACAGAAGTATCTAGATAGTTATTTAATTTTTTTCAATCAGAGTAGTTTATGGGCAGAAAAAAATCCAGAAATAATACCCAATTTCCCTTCATTTTACCTCATTCCAGCACAAAGCTCTCAAGTTGTTTTTGCTTATTTGTGATGACTTAATTCTTAAGTATAGACTACTAAACTGTTATTATAGTGTGCGAAAATCAGAGCATTTTAGGGGTCACGATGCATCCATTAATATATAGTTGCTTGAGCAATGCTTCTCGATAGAGCAGACTCCCAGATTCATCCATTTAATAGAGTTTGCATCCTCTTGTGGTACCCATACCAGTAATTCCCTGTGGAAATGCTAGCTTTAAACTGTAGACATTGAAGACCTGAAAGTAGAAAATGCCTGAGAGACATTGAGTTTGGGCATCCTAGCCAGACTGTGCTGCTACAGATGGTTAAATAATGGAACAAATCTTTCATTAACAATGTTTCTTTAAAATGTCAAATGCTGAAATCTGGAAAAACATGGACCACATTTAGCTGGTTGCAAGACAGCAATATTTTTAATTAAAAATTTATAAAATGTTTGTAGAAAATGTTCCATAGCAATTTAGAAAATGACCTGAGCAGCTCCAGCTCCCTAGCACTTCCAGGTTGGCTATGCCAAGTTCATGCCAGCCTCATTCAAGGAGGAGAAACACAGACAGCACAGGTGGCTGTATATCTGTGGCAGGCAAAAATCACCCGTCTCTGGAAACTCACGGAGCAAATCAGCCACAAATGCCCTAGTCTGACTTACTTTCTAAATCTAAATAGACCCCACAACAAGATTTAAACAGGTAACTGTTTAATGTCGATTTCCTTGCACCAAATCATGAGGCGAGCTATGTACTTCTTACATATACATCTGTTTTTAGTGGTCATGCTTTTTAGGAATAAACACTCAGGCTGTTGACAGATGTGGAGGGAAAAAAACAAAACAAAACAATGTGCTTTACTGTATAGATAGGGCCCTTCAGCAGGGCTTTTGGGTGCTTTTACATAAAGCTTATTCAATCAGGTATTAGATAAAAGTACCAAAAAAACCCTGCAGAAGAACCCAGTCTATACAGACATTGGGTGAGGTGGGTCTAACTTATGTGATGCCTCTTCTGGGCATGTGCTGCACTTGGCGCAAGGGAATGCGCCTAGTTTAAAGTAAAGCGCCTTTTGGGGTGGGGGGGTTTACATCTATAAACAGCCTCAGTTACTTAACTGCTTAATGTGAAATCCTGAGACTCCTCTCAGTCAAGGAGATAAATATGTAAATGTTAATGTGTTATACCAGCACATGTAAACAATAAAGTGTATGTCTGGTAAAACATACTGGTTTTATAGACCAAAATTAACCTTATTTATTTTTTGTATTTAGATTTGAATTTCAGATAAAGTTTTAACATTAGCACTTACATATTTATTCTGTCAGATTAAACACATTTTTTGATATCTTCCCAGGCATTTGGAAAAAAGAGAAAACACCATAATTTCTGAAGCTAAACGATATAAAGCACATTGTAGAGACAGTGTCAGGTAACTATACAGATTGTTTAAGAAAATAATAGTACATTTCAGTACCATTTTGTGTAGAGTAAATGCTTGCTCTGGACATAACTAGTTTGCGTAAATATATAAGCAGAAAAATATAAGATAATCATAATCAAATAGTCCCACCTTCATGCATCTGATGACCAGTAGCATTGCTGAATTTCATGGTATTTATTTCCTTATCTCTTGCAAGATTGTTTGCATAAACAGCTATTGGCTTGATGAGTTCAAGGGCACCCAAGCATTGCAAGTTGTTACCATTCAGATACAGATTGCTGTGACAAAAACACAATTTATTTGATTTATGTTTCAGATTGAAACTTGTATTGCAACTTTCTTTCCTGCAGTGAGGTTATATTAAAACTCAAATTACAGTGTTACAAAAAAAATTCTGCTACATTTTATCTTTGTTATCTTATCTTTATCAAGCAGACTTAAGGCTTGATAAGCTTGAATTGGATTTCACTTGTTGACTTCACATGTTCCAAGGTGATGGGGTAAAATAAAAGGGATGTGTCAAAACTAAGTATGACTGAACAGAAATGTTGACAAAAGGAGGCAGATGTGGCTCTGAAGACTAACTCAGACTCAAAAGAGTGAGTCCATGTCCTGAAGACATGCAAATATAGACTTAACCTTAGCTGTCATAGTATCCCCCTGACACCAGTGGAATGACTCATGCTTAAAGCTAAAGGTTTAAAGCAGGTGCATAAAATGCTCTGCAGGACCAGGAGTTTAATTTGACTTTTAGGTTGCCACTTTCATTGGGTTTGTTGTAGAAATGTTTAAAATCCTATATTGTGCCTAAAGGAGAAGGAAAGTAAAATGGCATGAAAACAACTTGCACAGAGTGAAGCTTGTTGCATAATAAAATTCACTTTCTTTCATTAAGATTAAATGAAAAGGTGTGGTGGGCTATAAGGCTTTATCAGTTCTCCTAAATAACTTCAGTACAGTATGCAGGGAAATGAGCTCTAGCCAGAGCTAACTAATCAACAAGCATAGGTCATACAAAGGTTACAGAAGGCTTATCAGGGATAATGAAAGCTTGATCAGCAAAAATGTCTAAGGCAGAAATAAGGCACTTAAGGATTTCTGAAGTCACTAACAAAATGGAGTGAAATGCCCTGCCACACATCATTAATCAGTGGATTCTAGATATGCTGCTCTTGAATTATCCATAATTTTTTTTCTTATAATTCCTTCAATTAGACTTTTCTGAAAGAAAAAAAGATCTGATCATTTCAGTACCACCCCTTTAGGCGTATACATTTTGATAGTGTTGATTGCATGTCTCGTATTCTGTCCCTCATATTTATTATACCACCACGCCATTTTTCCCAACAAACTCAGATTTATATGTAGCATCTTCTATCCTGTGCATGCCAGAGTACAGTAAAGACAATTCTGAAAGTATGAAGTAAAGCATTCTTAAACCATATAGCACAGATTATGTGTAAAAAGGGAATAGGGAAAAATGATGGGACTATCTTAAAGCAATGGAAATAGTGTAAATATACCAGTTGTAAGGGAGGAGAGCTGGAAC